TGGAAGCTGTAACTGCCCCAATATAACGTTATTCTACATTCTACAATCCAGTTATTAAAATCTCTAGGTTGTAAATTTGGTTTGTTGCCTACATGTTTGCTCGTCCCACAAATAGATATTCTCTAAACTCCTCCAGACATAAATAACCATAAAATTGCAAACTGGAACTTAATTTTATCACTGAAAAGTATTTTATTAACAGTTCTGTCTGTTAATTATTGTTCTAACTGTTTTCTCATGTGCGGTGCTCTGCAGCTACATAATTCCTGTTCCAGTAATAAAGCATTTTATATCTGGTATTGAGGAAAGTGGAAAGTATATTGGATTCTGCTCTATGGGTTTATCTTGCCAGCCTACAGAAAACGCTCAGCTTCGTAACCACTTTGGAATGCACCCTGGGATGACTGGGGTACTTGTGAGCAAGATTAACCCTCTTTCAGATGCAAACAGATTCCTAAAAAAGGATGACATCATCCTTTCATTTGATGGAGTGCCTATAGCAAATGATGGAACTGGTACCTACCTGCCATGTATTCTCTTTATTCATACAGTTTCTAAGTTGGGATTTAAACATATTTCTGATCAAATTAGTTGCAAGAACGATACTGAAAAAGTTTATCTTTTTTCTGAATAAAATAATGTTGAGTGCCACATATAATACAAGATATTAGTTTTTTTTTTTTTTGTTTTATTCAGTGTGGACTGGCAAAAAAATGCCAGCCTGGACAACCACAGCTCTATGGGGAAAAGGGAAAGTCAAACTGCATCCTATGGCTGTGGTTGTTGGAATGGCCCTTTTTTGCCAGTCTGGACTAAAAAAACTTTTCTTCTTTTTTTTTTTTTTAATGATACAATCATTAAAATACTTTTCCTTTTCTTGTCTTCCTTAAGGAAGAGCACAAACCCTTGAAACAATTAAGGGAAAGTTTTGCTGACTTCATTGAATTGAGACACTTCTCAGAGCAGAAAATTTTTCTTCTTACCCTTCTCTGCCATGTTGGTAATATTTATTTATATTTATGATTAATCCTTATGTTCTAAATGTATGATTCACACACTTTGCAGTTCCTTTCCGGAACAGGGAGCGGATAACGTTTGATCATTTGGTGTCCATGAAGAAACCCAGTGAAACAGCTTTGGTCAAAGTTTTGAGGAATGGGGAAGAGCATGAGTTCACTGTGACCTTACGACCTGTAAGTAATTGTTCTATTCTCAATTATACCTGCAGACTCATGTTATTAGTCCAATCTTAATGCTGTAGCATAGATCATTCACCAAATGCCAGTGGAACTAATTTAAAATCATCATCAATGGAACTGAAGCCAAATTTTCAATTCACTTTTAAAGTTTTTGTTTCAAGAGGGAAGCAGGTCCTGAATTTGCCATACTATCCAAAAAAAATGAAAGAATTAACAGTATGCATCTAAAAGTTGGTTTTACCGTAAAGAAAGGAGACTTCTAAAAGAATCTTAAACCACCACATACTTTTGTCTTCCAAGCATAAAGGTTCCTTGATAGTGTGTCAGCTGTCAAATGGGATGATTTCTATCCATAGATTACATGATGATTTGCTTTAGAATAACTAAATTGAATTTTACTAGCTTGATGTATAACTGAACTGGTTTTTTCGCTTGTGCCTTTTGGCCTTTTAATACTGCAACACTTTTCAAAGCCTTCAAATTAGTGTAAATTTTCAGTAATGATGTAGTCAGTTTCAATCATATAAGCATCTTTACTGAAGTTGTTCATAATAAAGAAAATGGATTATATATATATATATATTTTGGTTTGCAGTTGCAGCCTCTAGTTCCAGTTCATCAATTTGACAAACTTCCTAGTTATTACATTTTTGCTGGTCTGGTCTTTATTCCGCTAACCCAGCCATACCTACATGAGTATGGAGAAGACTGGTATAATACTTCACCTCGTCGACTCTGTGAGCGTGCATTGAGGGAGCAGCCTCAAAAGGCTGGGGAGCAACTAGTCATCCTGTCTCAGGTCTGTATGCTTGCTTGACTGCGTAGCACATAAAGATTCTTTCTTTGAGAAGAAAACTTTCTAGAGTATCTATGTTTTTTTGGCCCTAAGGTATCAAATTCATTTCTGGCAAGAAAAGCAGAGACCTTAGTCTTAGAGCTGTAGTTGTATAAAGAAGCTTCCTTTTTCCATAAAAAATATTTCTCTATGAAATCTAGAAAGTCATTTTCCTACAAATTTCTCCTTTAGAAAAAAAAAAAAAAAGGGTTTCGATAAAATCTTCACTCACATTCAAACTTCACAAATTAGATGTTATTTTAAAGTTTCATGTTTTAATCTTTCATGAGATAACCAAATTTCTGGTTTAGGTGTTGATGGATGATATCAATACAGGATATGAACGTCTTGCTGAACTCCAGGTGCGCTACTATTTTTGTTGTAATTGTATTGTAATATTTATGCAAGAGATAGGATCCACTTACATAAGTGTAAGACTTTTAAGTCTCACATAAATTATCAGCGTTTGATTTCATAAATCCAATGGCTAAGATGATAATGTTATATTTAGCCAGTTAATAACTACATTACTAAATATAGCACCATCATCTCAGTTGTTGATTTCACAAATCCAATGGCTAGTAATTTATGTAAGACTTACGGTTCTTACACTTTATGTAAGTTGATCCTAACTCTGTACAGAAGGAATAGTAGGCAAATATGCCCCCAAAAGAATTTTCACTGGCAAATAAGCCTCTAATGAAACTTTAGTGGCAAATTTGCCCCAAAACTCCAAAGAAGCCAGAAATGGATGGAAAAGCGGACGTGGAAGTCTGGCCATCACATAAATTAAATGTTGACTAATGTTTTCCATCCACTTAGGGCAGATTTACAGTGCTTTATAAGTTCAGGGGTGAATTGCCACCAAACTTTCATTAGGGGCTTCCTTCCCTGGGTATTTTTTTTCGGTGCTTATTTGCAAACCAACAAAAAGGCCCTATTTTACAAGAAATTAAGGTTCAAATACCTACATCATGATTCATGCATTGTTTTAACAATTTACTCTGATGTTTTCAAATAGTGTTACTGCATTTTGTTTCAAGGTGTTCTTGTTTTGGTGCATAACTCATCTTATAAATACCAACATGCATATTTAACTGTCTGCTAAGGAACTCTTGAAAAAAAAAACCGTCTGCTAAGGAAAAAAAATTTCATTCTGTGGTAAACAGGTCAAGAAAGTCAATGGGATCGAAATTGATAACTTGAAGCATTTGTGCCAGCTTGTGGAAAATTGTAGCACAGAGAGCTTGAGGTTTGATTTGGATGATGATAGGGTGGTTGCATTGAACTATAAGTTGGCCAGAATTGCCACTTCTAGAATTTTACAACGTCATAGAATTCCTTCTGCCATGTCAAGTGACCTTATTAGCGAAGAAAACTGCGATCTTGCCTGCTCTAGCTGAGTCCTTAAATCTAACTTGATGCGTGGGCAGGCCACTAGATTGAGTTGGCCAAGTTTTTGTAATTCATTGGTTGGGAGTCACACCTAAAATGCATTCGGTGACGTAACAGTATTCTTTGTACGCTGCATTCTTGCTAATTGTAGTCTAGTGTTAGCCTAAGAAGGAACTTAGAAGAGCAAGGGACATACCAAATCCCAAGGCTACTTTACGCCTTGAAAGCAATTGGTGTCTCAAATTAATGAAGTTCCTTTTTTTTTCTTGGTCTCTCTTTTTTGTTGTTCAAGCTTATTTACCAAAAAAATAAACATTGCTGATAAGCTAAATTGCAATGGTTAAATTATAAAACAAGTTTTTCTTTTTTGCCATGATTTATAAAAATACAAGCGTTTCATTAAAAATAGGAAATGAAATTTTTGCAAAACAATGAAAATATTTAACGAGAGTTTTAAACTCAGTTCCAAAAAGAAAAGCAGGAACCCAAGTCTCAGATCTTTTGAAGTGGCAAAAAAATATTATTCATACCAAGTCTTCAACCTTTGTAAAAATATTAGAAATTTGCTATCTTCTTGAATTAAAGTCGAGTACAACTAACACTTCTCTAAACATTTGTCTGAATTTCATGTAAATTAAAATCCTACTAATATTGGTAGTTAGGTGCGTTTCTGCATAGGTGATTTATAAATTTGTACTCAATTTTTTGTTTGGACAATTAAAATATTTTTGACTTAATTTTTACACATCTTAAAATTAATTCATTTCTTATTATATAACTCATTATTTTATGTTAAAGAAAAAAAAAAAAAAAAAAAATTAATAATTTAAGATTTTATATTAAAAATTTTATATAAAGTTGAGGGACCAAATTCAGCATTTAACCATTATGAAACTCTTTACGTTCAAAAAAAAAAAAAAAAAACAAACTCTATTCCCCAGCTCTGCTTTTTGACCAACAATTTATGCTTTTTAAGACCTGCTATCTTATTATTGGGGTTAGTACACTAAATTATTAACTTTAAAAAAGAAAGATTCTAGATAAATTTCATGACGTATGTAGTTGAAAATCAATATTTGTATAGATATAATGGAGGAGAGGGTGCTTGGTTTATCTGAGTCTGTGAGTCAAAGTACAATCACAAGGATTAAGAGGTGTTATTCATGTTAGTAAAGGCTGAACTTAGACTTAATTTATATGGTGACACCAGAAATTGGGGTGGGTTCAATGGTATAATTTATCTCCTTTTCTTTTGCTAACTTAATTTTTAAAATCCACATTTAATTTTATATAATTTTTTCAGTTAAGTTTCCCACCTTCAATAATTTTGAAACTACCCTGGAACACTGAAAACTGGGGTGGGTTTGATTAGGGATAGCAATTGGTCACTGTGGTCGGTCCCCTGTCAATGTTGAGTATGACAATCCCTGGAGGAATTTTTTACTGTGAGAAAAAATGTCCCTCGTCTCCATTTCTATTCCCTGTGGGGAATGAGGTTACCTGCAAGTTTTTTTTTGAAAAGCAAAGACAATTTCCATTATAGGAGTACTGGGTGTACTCCAAACCTTTTACAGGGATATATGTGTTTATTCAGCAACTAATTCCCCCAAAATACGTATGAATTTAGTCGAGTGCCCCTTCCTAAGAAATCCGTTGCTTACCCTGGTATTGTCACCCTGTTTTGCCTTTTTTTGCTGCAACCCCTCTTAAGCAGGATACCGGGTCCTGGATCCAATCGGACAATGAAAAAAGACATCCTTTCTTTCTGCATTTCATCCAGCTGAAGGACCTTAGTTGAACCAGTTCTAGCAACCTGCATTTGTCCGCTTCCTTTCCGTTAACTATGTTATCGTTTCTTGCCAACCACAATGTCCACACAACTACTAACCAGATGCATCTCCAGCCCTCTTTTATTCTGCCACTTTGAGAGCTGAAGGATGCTGTTGGAATACCTTACACCCATCTCTGTCCAGCGCTGTTCTAATTCCCCACCACCTGAAGCAGGCATTCCACAGATCATATGCCACTTTGTAGTGCGTGAATAAATGGCTGGTTTCCTCCAATTGGTGCCCACAGAGTTCACATTTGCAATCCTCCATGTTTTGAATTATACCTCTTTTGAAAAGATTTGCCTTTGTAGGGATTTTATCTTGAAGAAGTTGCCATGAAAATGCTAAAACCTTACTTGGCACCATTGCATTCCATACTTTTTGAAGGGTCACTCCTAGTTGTTCCCGCTCGAGCTCCAATGTGAGTGCCTTGTATGCAGATCTTGTTGTGTAAAACCCGTTGTTACTATGTATCCACTCCCTTACATCAGTTTTTCCTTTTGTGATTGTTGTTTCCTGGATTTCCTTCAAAATCTCTGTTTCTTCTTGGACTTCCCAGCTATATAACCTTCTCCTCCACTGCAGTTTCCATATCCAGCTGCCATTGAGCCACCATCCCATCTGTGAAACTGTATTGTCTTAACCTGCAGATATTAAGTAGAGTCTTGGGTATTTGTTAGCCAATATTCCTCTCCCACACCATTCGTCCCACCAAAATTTTACACTATCCCCTTCTCCTATTTTAATATTCAGCCCCTTTGCTAACCAACCCTCATTCTCATGGTCTATGACATTCAACCTACAAATCCCTCCACCATCTAGACCCAAAACCATTACCCTCCTTAACCAATTAAATCTTGGTTCCCCGACCCTACCATATTTCTGCAATATTACTTCTTTCCATAATCCATCCTCCTCGTTAACCAATCTCCCCCACCACTTCCCTAGCAAAGCTAGATTAAACTTCCTTAAATCCTTCACACCTAACCCCCCTTGCTCTTTGTCCCTACAAACCTTGTCCCATCTAACCCAATTTATTTTCTTTCCTCCCTCAACTCCTCCCCATAAAAATCTCCTACGGATTTTATCAAGAAATAGAATTGTACCTTTCGGGATCACGTACATGGACATCCAAAACACGGGCAGACTGGACAGTACTGAGTGAATGAGAGTGATCCTTCCTCCTAGAGATAAGTATCTCCCTTTCCATGTGGATAGTTTTCTGGTCACGCCCTCCAGCACTGGTTCCAAAATGAAAGCTTCCCACTCCTCCCCCCAATGGGTATCCCCAAATACTTAAAAGGCAAGTACCCTTTTTTGCAACACAAAATCCATGCCATTTTTTCTAACAATTCTTCCTTTACTCCAATGCCAATGAGCTGACTTTTGTTAAAGTTTATCTTTAGCCCCGATACCAGCTCGAATGTCCTCAAGATGCTCTTCATAGCCCATACATTTTCCTCAATAGCTGTGCCGAACAGCAGAGTGTCATCTGCATATTGGAGATGTGTGATCTTGAAGCCTTTATCTCCCACTTCTACTCCTTCAATTAAACCTTTCTCCACAGCCTTCAAAACCAGCCCATTAATCCCTTCTACAATAATCAAAAATAAGAATGGGCATAGTGGATCCCCTTGCTGAAGGCCTCTGAATATAGAGAATTGTCTGGTAGGGCTGCCATTGACCACAACCGACACCATACTTGACCTTAGGCACTCCATAATCCATTTCCTCCAAGTATTTGAAAAACCCGTCTTTTGCAACATGAAATCAAGAAATCTCCAGCTAACCTTGTCGTAAGCTTTCTCAAAGTCAATCTTAAACAAAAACGCTTCCTTCCTCTTCTTTTTTACTTCATCAATGACCTCATTTACTATTACAACCCCATCCATTAATTGCCGACCGCTTAAAAATGCCATTTGCTGTTCACCAACTATTCCCACCAGCACCTTCTTAAGCCGGTTAGCAAGTAACTTTGCAAGGATTTTGTATATACCCCCTATCAATGAAATTGGTCTATACTTTTCTATTTTCTATGGATTCTCTACTTTTGGCACAAGAACTATGAATGACGTATTTAGACCCTTCACAATTTTGCCATTCTTCTGAAACTCATGAAAAAATTCAGTAACATCGCCTTTGATTGTCTCCCATTCACTCTTGATGAATTTAAAATTGAAGCCATCCAGACCCGGTGCTTTTGAACTTTCACAGTCCCACACCACTGTCTTGATTCCTTCTTTAGTAAAAGATGCAATGAGATAATCATTATCTGCTGGGGCAATTTGTTTGAATTGGAGTCCTTCTACAGATGGTCTCATCCACTGCTTCTCCGTGAATGTTTCCTCAAAAAAGATGGCACTTTCTTCTTTCATTTTATCAGCCTCTGTAATCTGGACTCCTTTTACATGAATGCTATTCATTTCATTCCTCTTCCATCTCCCCTTCACACAATTATGGAAAAATTTCGTGTTTGCATCTCCATTCGCTAGCCAAGTTTTCCTGGATTTCTACTGCAGCATACTCTCTTTGTATCTCATGTTGTCCCACAAAATCAAGAATGCCTGTTTTCTTCTCTCAATCTCTTCCTCAGATAGTTGAACCGTCTCTCCTTTCACATTTAGCTGCGAGATCTCTGACGTAGCTTCTCTCATTCTCCTTTCTATTTCTGGTACCAAGTTTCTGCTCCATATCTTCAACACCTCTTTGGTGTTCTTGAGTTTTTCTTTGAGGCAAAATCCGGCCCACCCATGAGTATATTCCTTTCTCCATGCTTCTCTTATCACCTCCCGACACCCTTCTTGCTCTAGCCAAACATCAAAAAATCTAAAATGGTTTGGGCCCCCAGTTCACTTTCTGATGTCTAAGAAGGATTGGGCAATGGTCGGATACAGTTCTGGTTAGTCCCCACTGAGTTGCCTCCCCCCACTTATTTAGCCACTCTTCAGACAGTAAGAACCTGTTGATTCTACTCATCAACTTGCCACTCGGTTGGTACCATGTGAATTTTCTGCCCACTAATGGTGTCTCCATCAGTTCTGATTCCATTATAAAATTATTAAACTCCCTCATCTCAATAGTTACTGCTTTGCTTCCTACTTTCTCCTCTATATTCTTTACTGTGTTAAAGTCACCCACAAGACACCATAGCCCTCTTTTCTGTAGAACTAATTTTTTTAATTCCCCCCATAAGCTTCTTTTACCCGCTAAATGACATGGAGAGTAAATATTGATGATATTAACACAAACATCCTCTGCTACCCACCTCCCCTGTATCCCGATGAAGTTCTCACTCTCCCAAACTTTTATCATTCTGAGCGCTTTAGAGTTCCATACACAAACCATACCTCCCAACAATCTTACCGAATCCTTCGCCACCCAATCAAACTCCTCTGACCCCCACAGCAAACTACATAATTTTCTATCTATTCCACTCTTCTTAGTTTCTTGAATTGCTAAGAGGTCCACACCTTCTCTATTCACTAAATCTCTAACAATTCTCTTTTTCCCCGCAACCCCCAATCCTTTAACATTATATGACAGGATATTCATTTAATCACAGCACTCACCTTCTGTTCCTTGCTCGGGCCCCTTAAGCTTTCTTTCTCCTTTGTTGTTCTATCTCTAGTCTCCAACTCCTTAAGTTTCTTAATGACCGATTCTTCTTCCTCTGCCACTGCCCCTATCTTCTTCGCACACTCCCATATATCAGTAGCAATCCGCTTGTTGGGGAGTTCCTTTAGCAGCCTATTACAATTTTGAATACCGCTATGTCCTACCGAACCACCCGCTATTGAGTTGCTTGTGTTTGGCAGGAACACCAACACTGCTTCTTCCTCCGTTTGCCTCGTGCCACATCTGCCCCTGCTTTTCTTCTTCTGCTTCATGAATCCAAGAAGGATTGATTTTTGGTAAACAGAAGTGCATGATTTGCTCCTTTTCTTTCTCTTTTTCTTGTCCTTTTTCTGTGTTGTGCTCGTCTCCTCTTCCCTACTCCCTTCTATACTACCCCTCTCGTTGCTACAGGAGCTGCAAATCTCCAAAGTATTCCTGTCTTTTGTTTCTGTATTTTCCTGTGAGATCTTCTTTTTAATTCCCCCGTTGGACCTCATTTCACTCCCCTTTTGTGGACTGACATATAATCTTTCATCGGCCCAATTTTCTATTAACTCTCATTCACCGGCCAATTTCCTTTGGTACCATATCCAACTAATGGATCACTGTTGGGGTGAGTGGCCGGCCCATAACTTCCCAACCTTGCTGCAGAGTTTGAATTTGAGACAGTCTTCACCTTACTTCCTGATACACACATTTCAATATCACCTCTCTCCCTTGCGTCATCCTCTTCCAAATCCATTTCAAAGCTATCTGCTACCACATCAATGGACTCTTCCTCACCTAATCTGCTATGTGAGAGCCTAACCTTCTTTTTTGACCAATCCTCATCATTACTCTTTCCTTCAAATTCAAATTTTGCTTCTGAGCTTGAAGTGATAGCTAACCTGCTTCCTCTCTCCTTGCTCGGAAATGTTCCTCTGCCTGAAATATTCTTTCCGGCGTTATCTTCGCTTTCTTCTCCCCCGCTATCTCCATCGAAGCCTGCTGTATAATCCGAGGCATCCGACCAAGACTCATCAAGCTCTGAGTCACTATTGAAAGACGGCCTGAAATCATACTTCAGTGAGAAGAGGCTATTTGTCAATTCCTCCTCTGAAAACTTCAACTCATATATATCCCCATTGACTTTAACTTTCTGGTGAACAGAGATTGTGTCCATTATTGTTGTTGATATTAAAAATCTTGTACTATCATCCAAGCATATACATTTCCCCCAAACTAATGCCAATTCTTCAAAGAATTCTGGGCCCCAAGCATGCAAAGGAGCTCCTTGGCACCTTATCCAAACAAATCTTTCTTTTGCTACCATTGAGGGTGACCATGGTTTTACCTCTGAAAACCACTGACCAAGTCACTCCGAGGCTCCCTCCACTAAATCCTTAATTTCATCTTTGTTCTCACCATCCATAAAGACCAGTTTTCCCCCCATAGCTCTTAATCTACATGAGAAGTACCCTTCCATGTAAAACTTCTCTTGTAGATTGGGTACAATCTCCACTGAGTGAGCAACTCCCACATAGCTTCCTTGCAGCCACTGAAACTCTTCTTTTTTCACATTAAACTCCAATCCCAACCACTCCTCTCCTCTATTTTTTTGTTTTCATACTAGTCCGCTCTTCGGTTGCTTCTGCTTTTCATGGGCTCTGCTTTTTTCTTCTTCACGCTTCAAGGGGCTCTCAGGTGTCTTCTCTTCGCTTTTCCCGGATCCACGACCTTCTTGTCCTCTCACAGCATTAGCATATGACTTCCCATAAACAATTTCTTTTAATGGGATGATTCTCCTTACTCTCTCCCCTTTATCTTTCTCCTCGGGGTATTTGGCTAGATTTACCCATAATTTATGCCCCTCAACTTTTATTTGATCAAGCTATTTTTCAAGCTCCCTGGTATTCCTTACATTAAGGAACCTGACAAAACCGAACCTCCTTCCGTTCTTGCTTCTCCTCTATGGACTATAAATATCAAATACCCTTCCAAACTTGCCAAACGTTCTCCACATTTCTGTGTAGCTCCAGTCCTCTGGCATATTTGTAAAAAAGAAGGCTGTAGCTTACTTATATTGCCCTCTGTCATACCCCCACTGCCTGTACTTACTCTAGTTCCCTCCTTTCCACTGTCCTCTATCAAACCCCCACTCTCTGTGCTCATTCTGATTCCCATTCCAGATAAGTTGCCTTGTATCCACTCCCTTCCACTGTCGACCTCTCTCTTGGACTCTGATCTTCTCATTACCCAGTGCTGACCGTCGATGCCGCGCCCTGTGTCCAGTGCCTGCATCCCATTCTCTCGCTCTACCACTCTCTCTCATTTTCGTTGTTGAGGTTACCTGCAAGTATTCACCATTCCCACCAAACTTTGATAAAAATAATAATTTTTTTTACCAATCACTTGAACAAGCAATTATTTCAAAAAAGATTACATGATTGAAAAATTCACACTATGTTAAAATTTAAAATTTAAATATAAAATAATTTTAGAATAAAAGCCTAACTAACTAATAAAAGAAATAAATAATAAAATCTATGTAAATGAGGTTTAGACTTAAAAATTTATAATGAATTAAGTTGAAT